ACATTGTATTTAAATCACCGATTTCTATCTCGTGAAAACTTCACCCGTATTGTTAATGTGATCCCACCATTTACCGCAGACCTTCATAAACACTGTTATATTTGAACTTAACACAGCCTTATTTTTTAACAAGCTACAGAATTTTTAACTACAGAGAAGAATATCCACACATTGTAATGTAATATTTTAAATTCACTATAGAGCCATATTTGTGTAAAAACATCTAAAACGAAAGATGTCTGGACATGGAATTAATGTTCAGTCACGGAAGTGAAACTTTGTCATCTTTTTCCCTACTTAGAATATAAAAATTTCTCAGCTCGGAATATTTTTTTCAAAGAGTATGATCATTATTTTTACAAGTCTCAAAGCTTTTTAATATATTCCTTCTAACTTAAGATATGCATTTCAAATTGACAAACACTGAACTCTTACAGCTTTTTGAGAATGATTTTTAAGTTATGATACATAGCAAATAAAATCCTACATAACCAGGAATATTGACATGAATTTCCGAATAATAATACAACGTAACTTCAATATATTCAATTTAACTGAAGATACGCATTTCAAACTGACATTACTTTACTTAGAGTTCTTACAGCTCTTTAAGTAAATCCGATATTTAATTTTTCACAGATATGAGAAACATTTTTGCATAAATACCATACAAAACATATAATATTGACATGAACTCCATATTATGGTTCAACATTGGTAACTTAAATGAACCTTTAATACATTTTAGTATGAATTAATTTTAAATGCAAGTATTCAAACAGAAATGCTTCACAAATTTACATATTAAGCAAACATTCAAGAGAATACCTATATATCTAGAGATACTATTTACACTAGTTGGTAATGTAATTTATTAGAACAGTCGCAGACGTATAGGAGAGGTATGCAATATCCATGAAAAAAACTTCCTACCAAGCCAAAGAGCAATAGTGAAATATAACATATAAGAAGGGGAAAAAATTTCTAAATATTGAAAACATGAACAAGGAATGAATATTTTTTCTGAAAATGTCCCGAATGGGATAAGTCAGGAGTAAAAACCTTAACCAGTTTCAGGAATAGGGCCTGAAAAATAATGAAGTACTTTTAATCATATTTTAGTCTATAATGCATTTATTTATACTAAAATATTCTGTTTGAAGACTATATTCTACACTTATAAGGAATTTGATAAATCAGAAGGATTTCATTTTCTGAAGATTCAGGTTCAGAAACATTACAACTCAAAAGAAAAAAAGGTTAGAGCGAGAATGAAGTATACCGTAACCAATAAAAAATGTTTTTCTTCCTAAAAAAATTAAAGTGAAACTTTATCGACCTAAAAAAATGTAAATGAATTTTTTTCGACTTTTTAAAATTAAAGTGTAACTGTTTCTCCCTTACATTTTAAAATTAACATGGGTTTTACCACAGACGAACTAACAGTGGCGATGTTTCGTCTTAAAAAATTAAAGTGAAATTTTTCCAACTCAGAAAAGCAAACTGCTTCATTTGAGCCCTACCGGAAACTGCAGTGAGCATTTTTCGCCTTAAAAAAACAAACATATTCAGATATTATCATCAAGGTTTTCTACTCAGATATATTTTTCTGCTTTTCATACCATTACATTTCCAATGAAATTTGATTCATTGCCGGATAGTTAAATGTTTGTTATTTTTTTTTTTTTTTCGCATCCGAATGCATTTCATGTCTCACATATGCTCATTACAACCAAGTTAGAAGTTAAGTGAATACTTCCTGAAATACTGTACATTTCATTCCGGAAAGTATCTTCATTTTGAATCCTCTAATGTTTTTTTTTTTTCCTGCATTCCAAGTAAATTTTGTGCATAAAGTTTTCAGTTTCGATGGAAGTTATTTACGGATGACTATAGTGTTATCGTGTTTCCATAAACCTTTTGAAAACTTTGAGTATTACCAATTTTTAACGTTACGGCCACTGCAAATCATTGAATTTTCAAATATTTTCTTATTTATCTTTTACATTGCCTTGTAAAGATTTTGGAATAAATTTTTATTAAATAGTTATATTGTTTGATTTAATAACGTTTTGCACGTTTGGAAGATTTAACTTCAATAACACTACCACGCTGAATCAGAAAATTAAGAAAAGAAATGGAATTTTTTATCTTAGTATACTATGGGAATAGAGACTGTTAACCCAGCTCATACAGAATATTTTCTCGAAGTTACCAAGAATCACTGACTTGCACTATCATAGATTTTTCTCATGAAGTCTATTTCTTTCTTAAAAGAAGTTTATATACTAATTTCATTAGAAACATGTCTAAGAAAATATCTGACATTCATGAGAAACATCAGCACCTTGATTTAAATTATTAGGAAACTAAGAAACATTGTTTTGTAAATATGTTTCTCTTTGACTCAAAAGTTTCTTCTTTATCAATTTCTAAATGAACAACTAACCGTACATAAGTAATATATTGTATTGATGAACCAGTGTTATATTTTAACTTTAACTTTTCCCCTTAAATGCTCATTTTTCAAGTAGAATTTTACTAACACACACATGTGTTTATTGCACTTTTTGATAAAATCTCAAAGGCTGAAATGAGTGTTTCATTACCAAATTTGTACTTTCCGACTTCATTCTACTGAAACGGAAACATTCATAAGTTATTGCGAAGAAAAATTTGTACATGTTGTACTTTTTGATTAATTTTCATACCACTTGATTATCTTTGAAAATTTGTTTCCTAGTCCAGTGCTAATATATTGCTAATTTTCGCTTTTTCAGTGCCTTTCGTATGTGACAAAAACTCAGTTTACAACCTTTTCTTACTTAACACCTTGCATTGCATTGCTGAACCGGGGCCATGCTTTCATTTTTATTACATATCATGCGAATATTATAAAAAAGGCACATTTTTTCCTTCTGTTAGCACAATTTGAACGAGCATTTTACTATTACAGAGACTTCTTTAGTAAAATCTCAACGTTAAACTGAACGTTTCATTACTAATTTTGAAGATTCTGGATATATCCTACTTAAACGTTCATAACTGGTTAGCAAAATAATTTATACATAGACTCCGTTGTACTCTTGGTTAATTTTAAATTGTTTTTCATCTATAACACTTGATTTCTAATGATGTATCGAAATGATTATTAACTATCTGCCTTTTGCAAAGAATTTCGTAGACACATGTGTTCAATACAGAAAAATTTTCTAACTTATCAATATTATTACCAAAATAGAATGCAAAATTTCCTTAAAAATGTATACATTTATTTCTTTAAAAATACGTACAGAATACCCACATTTAATAATTTAATGAGTATTTCCTATATCAGAACGAAACTTTTTAAATAATGTCATATTCCATAAAATTTATGAATCTGTGATGTCGTTGCTTATTTGCAAATGCTTTGAGAGAGTGTGCTCTCGGTACTCTTTTAAACACTTCGAAACTGTTTTCTCTTTGCTATTGGAAACTATTTTATCTTTGCTGTTGATATATTCCAATGAATTCTCGATATTTTTTTCTCTTGGTTTATCTTCAGCTTATGAGTTATTTAAATACTTAAAAATATATTTGTAGATCATTTATGTTGACACTTGTGATAGATTTCCTGGATGTGTTTTTGGAAAATGTGTTTATTTTATTCACATGAATGAAACTGATGTTTTCTTAAAATTTTATTATTCAGAGTATCATTCAATTATGACAGAATGCCAGATTTATACTCATTATTCAACATTCATATGAACTTCGGTATTCCAAATTTCTCACGTAACTTTAATATTTCCTATCAGTAATAGCAAGACTAATGGAATAAATGCAGGTCATGCAGACATAAGAAAAAAATTTTGAAGTAAAAGAAAATCTTCAGGTCTAGGAAATTCAGTAGAATGTGCAAATATTCATCCTATTCGAAAGCTTATTTTTGGAATCGCATAGCATATATGTAAATTTACTGAAAAGAGATGTAATGAAGATCAAGTACTCTGCAAAAATCTGGACGGTAATTATACAAAACTAGATATATGGAAGATTTCCATGAAGTAGTTTCAGTGAAGAAAACATGCCAGCAATCTCCTGAAACTCTAAGTGGGTATTTGATCTTCGCATTACGTAGAATCTACAATTCTACTTAACTTTTGTAAGAAATTTGAATTTAGTCAATCGGCCCAGTAGAACGGGAGATATAGAACTTTCCCTTTTTTTTTAGCGCAGTGTTCTTCAACTATAATAGCAGTTGCAACTATTCCAAGAAAATTAGCCAAGCTATAAGAAAATTGAGTCAATTATCGCCCTGCCCATAATAAGCCAGAGAGTATTACAACCATTGAAAATCAGCATTAGAAAATAGCTCATCTCGTAGAATAGTAACTGGACTGCAGGAGCAAAAACTATTGTAATGCAAGCTTATTATTATCCATATTGCATGTACTTGTTAGAAATAATGTTGTAAAGCAGTTATAAATAACATAGAAATTTCAGTCAATGTGTAACTGAATTACAAGTTTACTGTAATTATCTCAGTAACAGTATTGTAAATATGAAATCATATAATACTTAAATTTGCACATAACTGTCATCATTGTACCTAAGTATTTCATGTAATACAAGACAATGCTTCTAATTAAAATATATATGCTTATACACAGACATTGTATGCCCATATAATATTTTATATTATATATATAAAACCCTTCTGCCAGGGTGACCATTAACACTGTAAGACTTTTACAACAAAGTCAGGTCAGTAGTTATCCCAGGCGACGGTCACTGTAATAGGATTAGGAAGATTTCGATTTAATTTCCAACCTTTAAATTGCGATCTGCAAAGATCAAATTTTAAAATGCTGTCAAAACTTTCCCTTTCATGAGCATTTATGCATATTATACAGTACATACATACTTCTCAGTCAAATTATATTTATTCATTGTTAAAGAATTTATTCATTGTTAAAGAATGTTTAGCTGCTGTCATGAAGGATAAAAGATCTTACATTTGCATTGCTTATAAAGAACAGCTGATTCGGTGTATACTTTAGGCCTGGTAGCTTCAACTCGTTTGTATGATTTCTTACCCATGACTGATAAGCCTGTAGAAAAAAGGAACGGGAATATAAACGAATAAATGGCTGAAATCTTATCTGGAGAATGAGCATAGCATGGAATGACAGATTGTTACTCAAATAATAACTCACTTAAATACGAATTTAAATGAAAATGACAGTGAGATTCCTTATAATTTGTATTTAATTAAAATTGAATTTCGCAAAATTTACAGATGATAATATAAATACTTACCGATTTCTTTTACCAACTAACGTATAAAGTTTTGTTTAATTTAATGTTTTAACTTTTTAATTATTTGTTATAAATCGAATTGCTGTTAAGATAAAACTGACATTAAGATAAAAGAAATTTCTGCACAATATAATTATAACAGAGACATGAAAAATGTACCAATTATGCACTATAAATTTAAGCAGAATTCAACATTAAATTAGCATTTATTGCCTAAAAGCATACTCGCGTTATGGTTAAGGATCGAATGAAAAAGATACGATTGAACGATTTAAAGAACAAATGGTTCTTAAATTAAATAACGCCTTTTCCCCTTGTGCTTCGAAAAAACTACAAACTATTTTCTTGCTAAATAAGATTTTTATTTATTTATTTATATTTGAAACACCATTTTCAAAAGTCCTCTTTGATATCTAAAAATTCATATGCTATTGTGGTTTTACCAGGTAGAAGCTCTCAGTTCCAGATTTGTGGTGTTAAAGCACAGGGAACGAAATTCAATTACTTGTTCGCACAGTTTGGACCTCGATTCATTGAAAACATATGGGATATCATCAAAGATGATTCTAAGCAGAAATACACAACTGCAAAAGAAAGACCCTTGAATAATTTCAAAGAGAGTGAGAATAAAAGAATAAGCCGTTTAATTACTGGACTGGAATTAAACGATATGATGCCAAGCCAGTTGTTAGGAAAAATGCGTTAACTTGGGTCAAATTGACATATCGACAAAGTGCTGCGTACCTTATGGTTGGATAAGATGCCAGATGCTGTTAAGAACATCCTTACTGTTAGTGAGGAATCTCTGAAGAAATTGGCAGCAATGGCAGATAAAATTATGGAAATGACTTTTACCATCTAAAGAATTGGCCACTAGCCACGCTAAGCCAGCTGGCATGGATGAGTTAATTGCAAAAATTTTTTCACTTGAATTACAAATGGCAAGTATGCAGTGTGAGTAAAGACAGTCCCGTAGTCCTAATCGTGGCTACAGTCATTTCAGTAAAAGAAGCCGCAGCAAATCCCGTAAGAGATACTATCGAAAGGCAAGTTGTGTTTTTATCATTTTCGTTTTCCTAAAAAGTATTTCTCTGAAAAATGTATTCCCCCTGCAGTTGGAACGAGTCGGAAAACCGCTCCCAGCAATAGATGTGCTGCAGAGGAATCGAATTACCGCAAATTCCGTCTATTTGTATAAGACAAAAAAAAGGGTTGCCAGTTCATCATCGATAGTGGTGCTGATGTGTCAGTTGTACCCCCTTCTGAAACTGACTCTAAAGATTGTGACTACCAAACTATATGCAGCAAATGGTACGGAGATACCCACATATGGTATCAAAATGCTTTAATTATATTTAGGTCTCCGCCGACCATTTCAATGACCATTTGTTGTGGCTAAAGTTTGCAAAGTGATAATTGGAACCGATTTTTTAAATAAATTTCAATTGTTGATTCATATGCATAACGAAAAATTAATTGATGGTGTAATCAATGGACAAGTTTCTTTCTGTCAATGGACAAGTTTCGAATTGTGCAAATATCCCGATTTAACAAAACCAACTTTGTTTACTAAAGTCATAAAACATACTCTTAAGCATTATATAACTACTACAGGTCAACCTGTGTACTCAAAAGCAGATAGATCATGAAAAGCTGAAGTTAACAAAACAAGAATTTCAATTCATGCTGGATCATAACATCATTTGGCCATCGAAATCTCAGTGGGCTAGCCCCCTCCATTTGGTTAGTAAGAAAGACAGTACGTTGAGGCCATGTGGTAACTATAGACGTCTCAACGCACTAACTATGCCAGATAGGTATCCCATTCTCATAATTGAAGATTTCAATTATATTTTAGAAGATAAAACCATTTTTCTAAAATTGATCTAGTAAAGGCATATTACCAGATTCCCATTGCCGAAGAAGATAAACCCAGGACTACTATAACAACACCTTTCGGTATATATGAACTTGATGTGATGAGCTTTGAACTCTGTAATGCTCCATCTACTTTCCAACACTTCATTACAGAGGTATTACGTGGATTGGATTTTGTTTTCCCGTACATGGATGATATCTTAATCTCCTCTGCATGCACCAGAGGAAGAGCATAAGTTGCACTTAAAATTAGTTTTTGACCGATTGCAGCAGTATCGTATTAATACAGCAAATTCATAAATGGGAGTTTCTCAAGCAGAATATCTGGGTTACCTCATAACTGCAAAAGGCTCTCGTCCACTGCCAGAAAAAAAAATTTGAAGCAATTCGCAACTATAAATTACCCATAACAATACATGAGCTCCGTACACTCCTGGGTATGATCAACTTTTATCGCCGCTACTTGAAGAATGCTGCAAAAACTCAAGCAGTCCTACACGAAATGTTGAAGGGTGCTAAAAAAGATCTTCGTAAAGTTCCATGGACAGATGAAGGAATTCGCCAATTCGAGAAATGCAAATCTGATTTAGCCAATGCTGCTCTTTTGTGTTTTCCAAAATCTGGATTGCCTTTATCTTTGTGTACAGACGCATCAGACTTTGCAAGAGTTGGAAGAGAGGATCAGTACTGCAACAGTTGGAAGATCAAAGTATGGAAACCAACTGCATTCTACTCCAAGAAATTCAATGCTGCACAGAAAGCTTATAGTACCTATGATAGAGGACTGCTAGCGCTATATCTTTCTGTTAAGCATTTTAAACATCTGCATTTTAAACATCTTTTGGAAGGACGTGAGTTTATTTATTGATCTCCAGCCACTGGTATATGCACAAAAACAAAAGAATGAGAAAGCATCGCCAAGGCAACAACGCCAACTTCAGTATATATGTCTGAATTTTCAACTGATATTCGACATATTGATGGCAAAGATAACATTGTTGCTGATGCTTTATTAAGAATCGAAACACTTTTCATAATTGATTATGAGCAAAAAGCTCAGGAACAGTGTGCTGATAATGTGTTTAAAGAATTGTACTCCAATAATACCTCTTTGCATTTTAAGCTATATGTCCTTTCATCTGGAAAAACTTTATGGTGTGATGTGTCAGAATAAAATTCGTCCATATATTCCTCATAAATTTCGAGGATGATTTTCAACCAAATCCATAGCTTGTCACATCCTGGCATGAAATCTACTGTAAAACAGATAACTGCCAGATTTGTATGGCCCATGATGAAGAAAAAACAAGTGATTGGGCTCGAGCTTGTCTGCAGTGCCAGAAAGTTAAAGTAACAAGACATACCAAATCAACGTTTGGTACATATCAAGAACCAGGTGCCAGATTTAGTGTCATCCATATTGATTTGATTGGGCCTCTGCCACCATCTAATGGTAAAATTTACTGTTTAACATGCATTGACAGATTTTCCTGTTGGATGGAGGTAGTTCCATTAGAAGATATCACTGCAGAGATTGTGAGTAAAGCCTTTTATGAACATTGGGTGAGCAGATTTGGAGTGCCATGTTCTATTGTAACTGACCAAGGCCGCCAGTTTACCTCCCAAATGTTTAAAAATCTTGCTGCCATTTGTGGTGCTAAACTTCTGCATACAACGCCCTATCATCTTTAATGTAATGGGAAAATAAAGCGTTTTCACAGAACACTAAAAGCAGCTATTAAGACTCATAATAGTTTAAAATGGACTGATGTCCTACCAACAGTGCTTCTGGGACTGAGATTAGCAATAAGGGAGGATACAAACCACTCCATAGTGCAAATAGGTTTATGGGACAAACATATGGACTTCCTGGTGAGTTCTTTGATGCACCTACTTTCAAGATTGAACCTGATACCTTAGGCAAGCAGGCTTCAGGGATACATGGACAGGTTGAAACCAATCAAAGTTCAACACACAACAAAGCAGACTATCTTTGTTCATAAACACCTCAGCTCCTGTTCTAATGTGTTTGTGCAAATAGACAGGGTTAAAAAAACCCTGGAACTAGCCTACGATGGGCCATTTCTTGTATTGTAGAGATATCAGAAACTTTTTAGTGTATCAATTAAAGGAAAGCAAGTCAATATCTCAATTGATAGACTTAAGCCTGCCTACTTGTTGAGTACAAAATATCAACTATGATAATATGCCTGCAATGTCAGTGGGTTACAAAAAACTCAAATCTCAAATATCTCAAACCCCTCAGCTCATAACTAATGACAATAAACAAACAATGAATAGTCGCTGTGGTAGAAGAATGAAGCTACATGTACGATTCCAAAATTAAGATAAACCGAAATCTAGGAGAATGTCGACTTTCACCGGTGAATGTCAACATTCACATAGTCTCTTGGTGTATGTCCGAAATATTTTCCAAATACTCTTATTTCTGACTTACACCGGTCAATGTCGACATTCACCATGTACTAATGGTGAATGCTGAACATGTAACAATATTATATTTTCTTCTCCGTAATTCAGTCACGAATAAACGCACTTGAAACTTGAAATAAGAACTTAAGAACATGAAAACCTAAAACACACAATGCATTTAAAACGAGAAAGGAAAATAATAGAAGTTAAAAACTTACTTAATTACACAGTACGTTCTGAATGAGAAAATAAAATAACAGTAATAAAAAACTTACTAAATTATGTGATTCAAATCTTATTTATTGCAACAAATTAAACTATTATGGCACTTTATGACCTCTCTTTTCGACTTTAACCAGAGCATATCTGTGATTGTCGACATACACCGGTGAGGGTCCGAATATACAAGAATGTAGTGAAATACTCGGTCTTTCACCGACGTATTTGGTGAATGTTGATATTCTCCGGAGAAAGTCGACATTTTCCAATTTCGGTCTTTCAAGGTAATATATGTTTATATCATTGAAAAGTAATTAGTTTAATTTTTAAAATCCAGAATAACGCCTTGAAAATTACTTTCATGAATAGGTAAACATGTTCTCAAATTTTAAAGTATTTTTCAATACTGTACCTCATTGATATTGCATTTTATACTAGTAATATGTAAACATCTCAATGGTTAAAGTATTTTCTATTGTATCTCATGGATATTGAATATTATACTAGCAGATTTTGGAAACAAAGTTATTCTGATAATCTTTATTAATTTTAGTGATTTGTCATGTTTGTAAAAGTTAAAACCATATGCGTATAGCCTCAATATACTTGACAGTTCTTTTAAATGGTAGCAAATAAGATGTCAAATGTTTTTTCTAGTTTGTCAGTTTATATAAAATACTTATTATGTGAAACAGGACAAGACTTTAGTTTCCTTTCATAATTTATGGTTTAATAAGTTGTTGACAGATGTTCAACGTAGTACAAATGAAAATTGAACAATTTCTTAAATAATTGATAAATTCATAGTAACTTCTATATTATATCAAAATCATAATTTTCATCACATTATATGTTGGATAGTCACCAAATGACATGAGCTAAAGTATTGATGTGTATTTATCATTTGCTATGTAACAATAATTGTTTTATTTTATGCTCTATGATTAGTATCCCCTAAATATAATGCCACACTATTTCGCATTTAAATCATGATGATCATTTCTCAATTTTACCCTACCATGTTCTCTTGGTATCGTAACTTAATTACTGGTGGGTCAATTATAATCTAATGGCTTAAATATTGAAATAATTTTATGTAACTAAAAATTAATTTAAATGTGTGTAATTCTTTTATTGTTTGTAAACAATATTTCAGGTAAATGACATGTGGGATATTATGCCTTGTATTATTTCTTTTCTTAATTTCTGTTTTCATATATAATATTTGTAACGGGATTTGTAGGGTTTTAACTGTAATCTGATGTATACTGCTGACCATGTGCTGAGTCGCGTTGTAATAAAGTGTGTTATTGTGTGCTAAGTTTCTTCGAGAAGTTATTACTGTTTGAAAGGACTATCCAGTAATATTTAATTTTTCTTAATAAATGATTATGTAAGCGATGAGATAATACGCCCCAAATGTGTTATTTTACTTGGGGAAATGCTGTTACTTTCCAAACGAGCCGAACGCGTGAACTATAGGTCTGGGTGTTAGTGTCACGCATATGTTTTCAAAAAAAGGTGAAGGATATCTCCTTCTTTCATTTAATTGGTAAGAGTGTTAAAGTGACTCTTTACATCCTGCATCCACGCTTCTGGGTGCCAAAATGTTCTCCCGTTGTACACTTGAAGATTCCAGACGTTACCCGAATAGTCCTAGTGAGCCGGCCGGGTGTCCGGATCCGCTCTCGCCTGTCACCTGCAATGGGAGTATATGAGAAGAACCATTCCTGCAACCGCATGAATGATTATAAAGGAGAAGCTATAAACCAATGGAAGGTATAACTGGAACGACGAGAGCCTTTATCTATGTGTTTCGTGATCATTGTCGCCGTAGTTGTTGCCTTTATCATCATGATGATCCAAGTATTCAAGTTTCTTTATCGAGTTCTCGAACCCATGGCTCAGAATATGAGAAGATTCGTCGATAATGACCCGTTCGGAATGATTTTCCTGCTCAGGTCGATTGGAAAACGATTTGATATTTCCTAAATGTGGAGATTTGTAAAATAAGGAACATGGTTTTGCAGAGATGATGTGCTGAGCTCGTCTGAAAATCTCTTTCGGTCAAAGAAAATAGCATTAGGAAAAACGTTTCTTTTTTTATTTAGTAAATGATGTATCACATCTTTATTAATTAGATATCGTTTTCTTCTTTTCTTTTTTGAAGGCCATTAAGAATAGCTGCTCATTCTTGGGAATAGAGTTCGTTTCTTGGAAAAGGCAGCACTTTTTTCTTTTCTGTTTTAAAGGACATTAAGAAAATGCTAATTATTCTTGGAAACTTGAAACACAAATACATTGGTTTCTAAATTTAAGGAAAAGTCACAAAAATGGTGATAACTGGTTCAAAAATAAGCCCGTCTCTATAAAATTTGAATGTGTTGTCAAATAAGAGTTGATGGAAAAAACTGCAGTACGCAAATTAGTGGCGCTGCAATTGGAGTACGTTCTCTGCAAGGAGCATAAAATTACATGTTTGAGAGCAAGCCTATA